ATGGGGAGAACTAGAAGAAAGTAGAACTGAGTTCTTACCAGTAAGTCACAAAGCAAGGCACTGCTCTGATTTGTCGAAGTTTGCTGAGCCTTATGTGATTGATGTTGGTTTAAATACGTATATTGTGATGGTGGAATAGCATTCACCTGCATCTTTCTATCTGTTACTCGTGAACCTCGTGTCTTGTTCTTCTAGATGCTAATTTTCAAATTTAATACCAGGTGCAGTTTTAGTTCTTAATGTCACTGCATTTTGTTCATAGTTTTAATGAAAGTTTCTTCAATCTTTGCATTTTTGTTTCCTTTGCAAGCTTGTCCTGGGGCTGTGGAATGTCTGAAACTCTGCTTCCTAGTGCTGCTGCGTCAAGTTTAGTAGGCGCAGCCTTTTCTTCTCAGGAATTTGCTAAGGTAGATACAGTGACCAGAAAGATTCTGCAGACCTAGGCAAACATGTCTGTTGTTGTTTCTGGTTTAAGATGGATGGTCTGATGTTAACTGAAGTAAAACCCAGGCATAACTGTTGAATCAAAGGAGAATTTACTTTGAGCTTTTTTTGCTGTAACAGTTTATATATACTGAGACAATCATCTCCTGTATGAAGTATTCACAATGTTTGGTTTGATGGTGAGGCCTTCCGATAGATATTTAAGTATTAGGTTGGCTTATATTTAATATTTGAGTCATAATAAAAGACCTCTAGTTTAAGCATTCAATGCCATAGGCTGATCTTGTACTGCTGTCATGTCTGTGGTTTTTGAGGGGCTTTGATTTCTGACACCAAGTGAATTGGTCATCAAGGGGTGCTCTCAGTAGCATGCCAAGGATTGTGAAAATTATATAGAAGACTGAACAACTAGAGAAGGCAGAAGAAGAAACTTCTTTATGAACAATAATTGGAGTGAAAATGGCTCCTAAGCAGGTGGTAGGATGAGTGAGTCATAGATTAATGGTGGCGGGAAGCATGTTTTTAAAGCCAGTCTGACATACCATATCCTTGACAGCTCCAGATCAGCATGAATCTCTTGTGCTGTCAGCCAAAACATTTTGTTCAGGTTCTAGGTGGATTAGAAATTAGGAATGTTGTCATCAAAGCCCTTGCAGCTGTTCACAATAGGAGTAAAGGGCTGTAGTATATATCTGGTTATTAATTACTCATTTAAGAGTCTGTCATCTCCTTGACTACAGTATCAAAAGTATTTTAGACTTGGTGATAGGTAGTTCAGAGTATCTTTTCTCTTCAGAAAAGAATCTTGGTATTGCACTGAAGAATCCCTTTCAACAAAAGGACCAGATGTGGTATCAATGCTGTGTGGCTATTTATTTTTACCCTATATGACACAAATGTCCATCTGTCCTTTTTTATCACAAGGCTCACTTCATTCTGCAGTGAGTTTTTTTGTTTGGTTGAAATTTTTTTGCTATTATGGTCTTTTCAATCACAAGAATATATTTACTGATAAGGCATTGTATTCAACAATCTCTTGGTCTTCGAATTGCCAGAGAATTAGAACTGACTTTTTTTTTCCTTAGCTGAAGTTAGTTTGTGCCCGAATAGTTACCAAACATGAACTACAATCAATGTTAGTGGTACTTTTTGAACAGCTAAGAGAAATTTCATATACCATGTTTGGATTGGCTTACGAAACCTGCTGATTTTGAAATTTTAAAAGATTAATCTAAAGCTTTTGCTTTAGCAATTACATAACTAATGTGCTAATACCAATCATTCCTCTGTATTTCTAGTGTCAAAACCTTCAAGTTCTGTCTACAAAGTTACTGTAGTCTGCAATAGTATGAACTTCCAATTTGTTGTTGGCACAGAAATCTTCAGCAAACTGAAAATATGGGGGGGGAGCGGGAAGTAAAACTGAGTTAATACTAAAATAAAGCAAAGGATACTGGCCTGACTGGGAGTATGGAAACCTGTATCTGAACTTATTTGAAACTCTGCAGTTCCCATTTTGTCAGGTAAAGCTGCATAATGGTGAACTTTAAACCCAGTTTGTAACAGAACGGGCAAGTTGTGCTTACTGGCTTAACATTGAAACTGTAAGTACAGTAATGTAAATGCTTTCTGGAGTTTTCCTTTAAACTAAAGGTGTTTCTACTGTTCCTCACTATTACCCATCAGTGCCTTGTTGCAGTCTCCTTTTCCTTGCTGTTAGCTTCTACATATTGTACACTCTTGCTACTGAGAGGTTCTGAAAAACTCTCGCTAGCCTTATCTACTGAGTGCTGTTCCTTGCCTGAAACTCAGCAAACTGGAGGTAGGCCTTATAGCTAAGTTTATCTTCCAGCATGGTGTTCTCTACTAAGAATAGCTTTGATTTAGTGGATATTAAGTGTGAACTTTTGTCATGCAAGCCTAAATATCTTTTGGGCAAGACTTCAGAAAATTAGGGCTTTGTTGTCATCATCGGGTCACTGTAGAGTTGCAGAGGAAATTCATGTTCAGTGGGCTGTAATAACTGTCCATGAATATGCTGTAGATGCAGAAAATCTCATCCTGCAGTGAAAAATATGTTGTTGTATTTCCTTATATATGTTGAAGATGAAGGGTATACAAATGATCAGTAACCATGGCTTAATGCTGGAGTTAAATGAGGAGCTAAATGAGTTTAATGGAGTTAAAGCTCCAGAGGAAGGGTTGGGGTTTTTTTGTCTTTTGGGTTTATTGGGTATTTTTGGTTTTTTGGTTTTTCAAAGCCTTCTTTTTAGTGGGGGTCAGTTAGAGCATTCCCCAGAAGTTGAAGTTTCATTAAATTGTTATAATCTTAATCCATATCCTGCAAACAATATAGAAATCTAAAGCTGAAAGCATCTTTAAATCTGTTCTGTAGAAAGACATCTGAAATTATTATGTAGCAAATTAACTGCTTTCAAAGAAAAGTGAGGCAGTAAGTTCCGAATTGCATACCTCTGAGTGCACGTTTTTTAAAAAGGTCCCATTTTCTTTAGTATTAGGCATTAGCCTTTGGTACTCTGCAATGAAGCTGGCAGAGAGCAAACCTGTAGTAAGGAGGAAAGCTGTTTGCCTATGCACGTACTTAAATGAGAAGGAGTAATACAACAAAAGTTAGCAGAACTAATTCATTCTATGCTTATGTGCACAGTAGATGCTGCATGTTCTTTTTTGCTTTTTTGCAACATTTGTAAATTAATGTGAAGGGATCTCGGTGTTGAAGTAGATACAGAAGCTTAAATCTGGCAAAAAACTTTAATGAAATCTTTCTCCTTCCTTCCCAAAATACAAGGATTTTAGTTTTCAGAAGTAATTTTATATAACCAAGAGAGACACTTAAAAGGGGCCTGATTTTCAGGAAGCGATGAACCATTTAAAAGTGGTCTTAGTTTGACTTGATGAAAGATGGGTGCAGCATCTGTATGGGTAAGTTCTAAATGACTTGCTGTTTAATAGAATGTTAAATGGAATTGTAAAAAAAAAAAAAATATCAGTGTGTGCTTTTTTGCAGTGTTCATCCTAGTGTCCTTCCAAACAGTGGTGAGATGCTTTGTTTCTGTGGGAAGCAGACTATGCTTTTCAGTCTCAGAAATGCTTTTCCAGCTGTTGAGGAGACACATGCTGTTAAAGAATCCACCTCCTATGGAAAACAGCAAGCACAGTCTCAGTATGTGTTGATTGTCAAGGAAAGGAAGATATAATAGCTGATTTAAAACATAATTTCAGCCTCACTTGTTCTAGATATTATCTTTGTAGGAGAGGTTGCGAAGGTAATGCAGTTATTGAAAATCTGAAAAAAAAAAATCATAGTATATCAGGCTGCATTTGTTTTTAAACTATGCCTTAATGGACGATAAACTAGTATCTTCAAGTTTGCACCTAGCTGGGGATTGTTTAGTCACGGGGGGTTTTTTAAATTTTATTTTTTTAGTGGAGTGTGACCTCTTGTATAGCTGTAATGCAGTATTCCAATCAAAGCATTTCCTGTCATATGCAGTGCATACATGCAAAAGTAGATCTTGCAATACTTACTTTTTAATGTGGTAAACATAGCTGTAATGCAGTATTCCAATCAAAGCATTTCCTGTCATATGCAGTGCATACATGCAAAAGTAGATCATGCAATACTTAGTGGTAAACATTGTGTCCTCTGGAAACAGTTGGATGATTTAGATGGATATTTAACAAGTGAGTGAAGGACAACACCAAATTGCAGTGTCCATGAAGTGTATGGGACTTGTGGATTGACTGGGACCTCTGCTTAAAAATGGTTTAGAGTGAGGGAAGAGTTGTTAATTCATAAAGGTGTTAATCAATGACTGACAGAATGGACACCTGGGTTACTGAGTCACAATATGTGGCCTCTGCAGGCTAAGTCAATTTATCTTTGTATGTACTTATAGCCATAAGGTCATAAGAATTCTGCATGTGCCTTATCACTTAATGCCTACATTACTATACCATGCTTCTGGCCATGATACAGGCTTTCTGTTTGGTTTTAAGTGATCAAGGGTTAAAATGTCCGTTAGAACAAATGTGAGAAGTTGCTCTAATTTGAGCATACTCTGGCACTTTATAGTCTACAGAGTAAACTTAGTTGTGACCCAGAGTTTGGTGCTGTTCTAGAAATGCTCTTACTCGTCTTTTTTGTCCTTCAGGCACACCTCATCATTCTCCAAAGGTCAGAAAGCTACTTTTTTTTTTTTTTTTTCTTCCCACCCAGCCATTCAGTTTGGAGTGTTTCTATCTCCCCCCAGATTGACAAAGCTGAATATTTAAACAAAATGGTGGTGGTTTGGCTTACTCTTTTTTTTTTCTTTTTTTTTTTTCTCTTCCTTCCTCCTAAAGAAAACCAAGTGGAAAGCTACAATCAAATCTGACAGAGCTTCGAAGGCTGTAATTAAAATGTCAAAATAACAAAACGGCTGTTAATTCTCAAATTAGAGCTGTCTTTTCTTCCTGCCCTGCTTTACTCTAGTTCTAGTGAAGTACAGGTTTCTCAGGTGGCACTTGTGATATTTTTATTGCAACATGATTGTTTGAGAAATGAAAACAGTTATTATACTGTTACTCAAATTACATGCAGTTTTAATGGTTATTTTTAGTAAAGTTGATATGAAGTACTGCCCTGGGAGCCTCAAGAGTGATACAGGTGGGACTGTCACTATGGGGGAGAACAGGAAACTAACACTTTCATTTCTTGTAGGCCTGAGGATACGCTTCTCTCCATAGGTAAAGCCTTTTAGTTAGGTTCCCATCCCATACTCCCTTTTGTTGTTATTGATCTTATCTTTTTCCACCTCTCAGGTCAGCCAGAACAATATTACCATGATGTCATCCCCATCTCCTGTCCAACAAGCTCAAACACCCCAATCAATGCCTCCACCACCACAGCCGCAGCCATCTCCTCAGCCAGGCCAGCCAACTTCTCAGCCAAATTCAAATGTCAGGTGAGCTAGACTGCAACTTTCGAGGACCTTTGTCAGTGCCATGAGGGTGAGGTTTTCAGAAGGATTCAATATATCTTACTCTGCTTCCATTGAAGGGGATGAATTTTAACATGAACTTCAGTGAGAGTACAGGTGGGATTGTGCCAAATACACTCTGAAAACCCCCATTTTAAATGAAGAAGCTGTGTAGAAATCCTCACTGAGTCTACTGGCAGAGCCACAGAGTGCCATAGCGATGCTTACTGAAAGCATATCTGCTCACAGGCTGATCGTGCTTTCTTGTCGGATTCTGGCAGGTTTGATTTTATCCTTATTTTTCAGCTCTGGCCCAGCTCCATCACCCAGCAGCTTTCTCCCCAGTCCATCTCCACAACCATCCCAGAGCCCAGCAGCTGCACGAACACCTCAGAACTTTAGTGTCCCATCCCCAGGTCCTTTAAACACTCCAGGTAAATGATCTGAGAACTGTACTGCAGACCGTGAGTTGGGGTATGTTTTGGTAACTGTAATAGTTCCCAGGAAACCTGTGAACTGTTCGGCATGATGTAAACTTCCAAGAGCTCTACAAAGCAGCCAGCATTGCAAGTAGTGAACATGTCACCTGCACCACATAACACTACAACATGGATATCTCAAATCAAAATCAATTGAAACCTCTCATCACTGAACTATGCAATGGGTTTTTCTAACTTTCCCAGTCTTTTGAAAAAAGAACTATACTTAATGGAGCAAGTTTATAGAGGCATAATGATTCCGTGGTTCCATGCAGGAGGGACCCCTGAGCAACAGCATGCAATTGTAAAGGATGTAACTACTTATTCAGAGGCAGCAAGCTGCTTTGCTCCAAAGTGCCTTCCCAGGTGTACTCTGACACTTCAGCTCTTCTCTCTCCCAGATGTAATAAGCAGTTTCTGATACAGTGAATGGAAGTAACATACTGGCTCCTTCTCATACCAGTGTTGTGTGCTCTGCAGTTTGGAAAGCACCAACTTAAGGAAACCTGCAGCAAATTCAGTGTGTTGATTTGGTGTTTAATGCACCAGAGTGAAGGCCAAATGAGGACCTAGAAAATGGTTATATGAAGCTTTGGACCTTTTCAGAAAAAAATTGTATTAAATGGGAATTGCTGTTCTGTCCACAGAACCTGTTATTTCTACACAAAGATTAGAGGGTTGGACAAGCACTTAAAATGGCATCCAGTTGTGGATTTGGGTGCTTGACGTGAGCTATACTTCAAGAGTGCCACATTTCAGATCTAGATTTTTGGAATGCGAGAATGCTGTTCTGCAGTATCATTTATCATCTCTGTGACATGCAGTCTTTACTTCTTGCCAGGAAATCCAAATTCTGTCATGAGTCCAGCCAGTTCTAGCCAGTCAGAGGAGCAGCAGTATCTGGAGAAACTCAAACAGCTGTCAAAATACATTGAGCCACTCCGGAGGATGATCAATAAAATAGATAAAAATGAAGGTGAGGTTCCCTATATTTAGTCATGCATTTCTCTCTGTCAACTATCTCTTCTGATGAAAGAAGCAGTACCTTGCCTTTTGTGATGGTTTCTATGCCAGGGATTAAAAAATGACAGTGAAAGTTAGTTGCTCTTTTTGTGCCTATGAGACTGTAAAGATTTTACTGTGAAGAGTGGGTAAAATACTCATCCTTAAATTCCCATCAGTTTTCCTTTACTTGAGATGTTTTTGAGACACATAGAGCTTACACAATGGATATATATTATGATTAGAGATCTTTGATCCTCTCTACTTTCCGCAGTGTTGGCTCATGTTTTCACTTTTAACTGTATACTGTATTTTTGTCTGCATATATGGAAGCTATTCTTGTAGTCAGTATATGTGTCTCTGGTATTATTTCAGATAGGAAGAAGGACCTGAGTAAAATGAAGAGTCTCTTAGATATCCTGACTGACCCTTCAAAACGGTAATTCTTTTTTCTTTTGGCTGGACATCAGGTTTCCTAGCTCTTCTACAAATTTATTGTTTAGCGTCCAGCCATGTTGGCATTGAAGCTCCCTGTGGGGCTCAGATAGTGGAAACACTTCAGCTGAGGTGACCATTTTGTGGTGATGAAATGCCTCCCTTTCTGCAGGTGCCCTCTGAAGACACTGCAGAAATGTGAAATTGCTCTGGAGAAGCTGAAAAATGATATGGCTGTGGTATGTAACGCTTTGTGCTCGCAAGAGATAAGCAATTCCATAATTAGTTCCAAAAGGTCTTACAGTTTGGCAAGGTAGTTTTTTGCATTCCTTGTTGCTCATGCTGTTAAGACTTCAAGTAAGGTTGGACAAAATAAGAAAGCAGGAAAAAAAATGGGCAAGCATTTACTTCATGTGAAAGATAATATATGTATCTTTTACATGAATTTTCAATTTCTTGTGCTTAGTGCAGAGACTGGAGTAATTCTTTCTATGAACTTTTGCAGCTGATTTCAGGACAGACTTCCTAAATGAAAGCTGCAGATGGCTCTTTTTCCTCTTAATGTTACTTACTGTATGCAGTTTTGAGAATCCTTTGCATTTCATGCATTGGAATTTTACTGCTATAAAATTTTGCAGAATCAATAGTAGAGATTTCTTTTTTGGTGATGATTAAAAGATGATGATTGTGTTTTAGCCTACTCCACCGCCTCCCCCAGTGCCCCCCACCAAACAGCAGTACTTGTGTCAGCCTCTTCTGGACGCTGTTCTGGCCAACATACGTTCACCGGTCTTCAACCATTCCCTTTACCGTACATTTATGCCAGCTATGACTGCAATTCACGGACCACCGATCACGTATGTATCGTTGACCTGCTGTCTGTCTTAAATGCTCATTATTGAAGGAAAAACTATTTTATAAGTAGGAATTATTAAAACAACAGATGGGTTTATGGATGGGTGTGAGTTCTATGTTTCCTTTTTACACCTGTAAAATATTTGACAAACGCGATGTTGGCATAACGTTTTCACCTAGTCCTTTTGTGGACCCTATTTTATATAGGGCTCCAGTTGCTTCCCCTCGAAAACGGAAATATGAAGAGGATGAAAGACAGACCATACCAAATGTGTTACAAGGGGAAGTCGCAAGATTAAATCCTAAATTCCTGGTGAACCTGGACCCTTCTCACTGCAGTAATAATGGCACAGTTCATCTCATATGCAAGCTAGGTAAGTAAGAAGAAACGAAAGGCTGAATTCAGAAAGAATTGCTGAGCTTGACTGTAGAAATTTGAAGTTTTTTGCTAACAGTCTTGAATCTTGCCAACCAGTCACTTCTGCGTGAAGTCTGTGCTTACCAGATTCATAGCACTGCTTAATCATGACATTCTACATAGTCTGCTTCAGGGTACACCTGGAGGTTTCATTCACACCAGCTGATCTGTTCTTTGCACTGAAGTTGCAACTGGTAATTTCATTTAGTGTCTAGAAAATTACTTGTTGCTAGCAACAATCTTGATTCCTGATCTGACCTCTTCTGATATGAGAGAGTTGTTCTGTCTCCAACAACTAGGACAGAGCTAGAAAGATGTTGAGTTAATTTTTGGGAGGGTCTATTTCAATTTGTAGTAGTGATCACTGACAATGGTGTATGTTCACAAAAGAAATTCATATTGCATATTTTTTTGTCTCAGCTTAATAATCATAAAGTGTTATAGTCTATTATCTTGTTTTGTTCTTGGATTCCAATGGGGAAGATAGATTCTTTCCTCCTCCCCTTCATTTGAGAAATCTGAATTGTTTTTGTCCTGAATATTAGTACATAAAGCACTTAATTTTCAAAAATGAGGTGTCTCAGTGATGAAATGGTGAGATTGGCAAGGTGCAGAAATGTGTGAGAGATGGAGCTATGTTTGCCAGGCTTTTCTTCCAAGAATTTAAGAGTGTCGTTAAAGTGAGCAATGAGATTGCCTTCCAATAAAAACGGAGATATACAGCCTCATTCCTTCTTAGGGTTCAGAAGCTAGAAACCAAGCTGGATTGTGCACAAAACACCCCTTTGTCTAGGAAGGAATGCTTTGTTCTGATGGGAAGTGTGTTTGCATTCTAGATGACAAGAATCTGCCGAATGTTCCACCACTACAGCTCAGCGTTCCAGCAGACTATCCAGATCAGAGCCCTCTGTGGATAAAAAACCCTAGACAGTATGGTATGAGGATGCTAGCATGACATTTGTTGGGCATGTGTATGTGGTAATAGTGGGGAAACGTGAACACCTAATATTACTCTTTTTAAATTATTATTATTTAAATGTTATTTATTTTTATTATGACTGTTTATCTGTTATCTTTTTTTTTTTTTTTTCCAGCAGCCAATCCCTTTTTGCAGTCAGTGTATCGGTACATGACTTCAAAACTATTGCAACTTCCAGACAAGCATTCAGTCACGGCACTTTTAAACACTTGGGCACAAAGTATTCGTCAGGCCTGCCTCTCTGCTGCATAACATCTCACTTTCTAAATTGTGAAGCAAGAAAGAAGGTCTCAACAACTGGCCTCTTCCACATGCTGCTGGAAAATCACAGGCATTTTGGGGAGGGTACTTTAGAAGAAAGAAGCCTTATGTTGTTTTGTTTTCTAGGTGTCAGGTTCTGTAGAGAACCTGATGTTAGACTTAGCTTTCATCCTTTTTATCTTCTCCCTCTGTGGACTTTTGCCAGCATTTTCAAATATACAAAATGTGTATATATGGTTCTTGAGACTGTATTAGGATGAGTTTTTATTGTCTTCTTAGAGAAGAAATTATTTGTGGACTTCCATCAGGGAGTCTGGTATAAGAGGGAGTAGGGAGAGAATGTCCTAATTTGCTTCAAAGTTTGCTCAGTGCCAGTATTCCTTTCACACTGTATGTTTTGTGACCTGACACTGCCCCACAAATAAATTAGAATGCAACTAGAATGCACTTGCAAACTTCTCAGTGGTTGCAGAAATCTTTTTGCCTAGTAGCTTTGCCCAGAGATGAGATAAATTACAGCTTTTTAAGGCATCCCTCAAATATCTGAGATAAATCTGGATAATTATACTTGGGGGTGGGGAACCAAATAGAGTGAAAAAAGTTATTTTCTAGCTTATTTTAAACACTACTTTGTATAAGTGGTTTCTGGTTAGCATGGACCACGTTTCTCATTCCAAAAGTGTGAGGTGATGAGAAAGATGAGATATTAATGTGCACACTGACTTCCTATATAAACTCAGTAAAGGTGTGTGTGTGGGGGAAACCCCAACAGTATAAAGCCCTAGTAACACAAATCAATCCAGCAGGCTTGTAGCTACGTTTCTTTTTTTACTAAGAGACTCTCTGAGGCATCTGGCTTCCTTTGGGACTTGATGCAGGTCAGTGAAAATGCTTCTATGCTACATCAGTTTGTTTAAAAAAGAAAAGGAAAAAAATAACATAGCTCAGGAGTAGAACTGACAACTAATATTTTGTGCCTTGAGCAATGATGGGCACTGAAGTCAGTCATCAGCTGCTTTATTGTTGGGCACTTCTAATGAAAACATTTGCCGCGAGTAACTCTAATTTCATGCATAGGGTGATTGTTTTATTTTCCCCATGCTTATAAATTGCTCACTCTTAATTTCCTGGTGCATAAGTATTTCAGATTTTCCCATTATATTCTGCTCCATCTCCCTGTATTGTGCAGCAAACCTTAAAGAGTAGCTGGGCTCTCTTACAGTAGTGTCAAGAAATTGCTATGACCTTCGTAAATCTGTGTGGTGTCATCAGTTTTAGGATGTTTTTAAATGTGGGTACTTAGTAAGCACTGACTGAGGCAGCAGAATGCTATCAGTATTTTGTACATGAACTAATGCATTATCTGTTTGTTTCTATTGTAATAAATTTATTATTATTCCTGTGTTGGATGCTAACATTATACTGCTCTTCCCATGTTGATCCCTAAAACCAGTTCTTTTGTGTCCATTGGATGATGGTTACTTTGTTCTGTGGTAAGTGAAAACTCGTACGCTTTGAAGGTTAGGGGAGGAGATCATAAATGGTTCTTCATCCCATGCAACATTATCTTTACTGTCCTCAGAGTGAATTGGAAGACCTGGTCAAGAGATTAGTAATGGTATCTACAATCAAAAGATCTAGTTTTTTTCACTGATACTGTTACATGGCATGCTCTTTCCTTAGGGCAAAAGAACCCGTGGCATCAGTACAGTTTGAGATAATTAAGTCATAACCCAAGAAATTAGGATAGAAACAGGGGTGCTTAAAGATACTGCCAGGATCTAACACTGAGACATTTCTAGCAGTTATTTCTTAACAATTTGGTTAACGCGTATCTGGAAATAGGTGCAAAACATGCATGTCCCTCAAGTTTACAATACTTTTCCTAGTGCAGTTTTCAGAGCTGTCACTGCAGTACCTTTCCGTTTTCCTTCGAACAAGATGCAATGAGATGTTACACTAAGAGGGTGGGGTGGGCATCCTGACATACAGCAACTTCTCAGTTGGGAAATAAATTGTGTAAACTGGAAGTGGGTCATGAACCACAATGTGTCAGATTAATAGCTGCGTATCAATATAGCTGCCTGCCTTTTCTGTTGATGGGCAAACTCATAAGCTCCTTATAGGTATTGCTAAAATAATACAAGTTTATTCCCAAGTCCTTGGAAAGATGCACCAAAGTAGGAGTAAATGAGTATTAATGTTTCGTTACTTTATCAGCTGTTGAGGCATTGAAATTGAATTCAGAAAATGCCTCTGTTCTGAAAAATTCAGGGCTTCGTGTCTTTCAGAAATGCACAAATCCTGTCATGAAATCAGAAATACGCATGTCTGATCCTTTCCTTTCTTGAACATATGGCATACAAAGTTAATTCATAATCAGCTTGTATTTGAAATGAGGTGACAATAGCAGCTGAAGGAATCTATCATGAAACTTCAGTGTAAATGTTCAAAGCAGTAATAAGGAAATGAGAATGAAGAGTGTTGCATTAAGCGCAGTTCAATGAAGATGGCTTCTTTGAACAGCCTGAGTTCTCCTCTCTCTCAACAAAGCTGTTCACTAGTGTGTGTTTGAGTGGTGGCAAAACTGCCTTTTTTATAAGGGGCACCGCTGTGGCAATCAGACTGCAGAGAGAATGCAGCAAATCAGTGCTACTGTGATTCCCTGAAACTTTCTTTTTCCATTAGGAAAGGTATTGGGTTAGGATTACTGCCCTGCTGGTGAGCTTGGTGATTGTGTGATGGGCTGTCCTGTCTGGCTGATGAGACTAAACTTCAGTGAGAATTTTTTTCCCCCAAAGTTTTGGTATTTTGAATGACTTACTGTTTTTCTTCATGGAATGATAATAGTGTGAGATTGGCTGTTCCTCTGTTTTTCAAACCTTATCTGAGGCATAGCTTTTCTGTGTTAAAGTCTAGCTTTTTATTTTTGCCTCATGAGCTACCCTGACATTGCCTAGCGTGGCCAGGCAGCAGGCACATCGGTGGCTGCCAAACCTGGCACAAGGTGTCCTGCCTTTGAGCTCCCCAGGGCTGCCCGTTCTTGCCAGGCTCTCGACACTGGATGCCTCAGGGCAGAACATGGGGAATATGCTCTTGCAGGCACCCTTTTTGGGAATTACTGTACTAATGAATACATCTTCCTGTTTTCAAGCACCATGCCTTTGGTTTCTGGACTGATCCATTTCTCAGTATGCTGCTGAAAATATTTATGCTTTACTATTAATGTACTACAGTTATCTTACAGCATATGATGCTGCTTAAATTTAGGAAAGTATATTTTTCTCCATCTTCCAAAACTACTGACTCCCACTAGACTGTAGTGTTAAAATTGCTCTGATCTGGTTCATTCTGCGCAAAGGAAAGGGGATATTCACTTGTAGATCACTTTTTACAGGCCAAATGCATGAAACGAACTAGAGAGCCAATACAGCTATTAGAATATGAGCTAATGTAACTGATTTGTGTATCAGTGGACTAAATTAAAAGAATTATTTGATTCCATTCTGATAAGTGCTACTTTCTAGAGAGGTTTGTATTACCCTATCTCCTTTCTCTGTTTCTCACCTGAGCTTTTTGGGAATAGCATCTCACATGGACAGCACCTTAAAGCACCAAATATTTGAGAGGGGCTACAAGGAACAGTGCTGTTCCTATCATTTGAGTATTCTGAAGACAGATTTCTGAAAGTCAGTCAAACTTTAAACGGCCAGTGTCTTCACAGAGTGATTTAATCTTTGGATCAACCCCCTTAAAGAAATGGTAGAACATGTTCCTTACTCTAACTGCGTCTTTAAGAGAACTGCAGATCTATTGCTAAAACTGGTTGTGTAAAGACGAGCAAGTTCTTTCTGGCTGGAGGACAGTGCTAGTAAGAGTGAAGGGCCCTATCTAATTGTTCTTGGCCATTTTCTTTTGTTCTCTGTTACTTACTTCATGTCTGTTTAGGCAGCGATTACGTATCTTGCAGATTGTTGTATCAATTAGTGCTTGGATAGGGTCTGTGTCATACTAAAGAATATACTAAAATAAGCAACTTTCTGCTTTCCAGTTGAGGGGACTGATGTCCAACTTGAACCTGATGAATCTTTTAGACTTTTACTCCTCAATGCATAGTTTTCTAACTATGTTAGAAAAAATTATGTAACAGGACAAGTATACCTATGTATGTTAATCTTTATCTGAAGACAAACGTCTATCCTTCATTGGTTTAGGGCTATTAAAAAATATGAGGAGCAGTCTTAAAACACGAAAGAATGGTTTGTGTTTACAAGTTGCTCTATGTGTGCATAGGTATATAATATACATAAAATTAAGATATAAAAATCCTTGAAACCTGAGGTGGCAGTAATACTGTTGCTTGCTGGTAACTGGGACTGACAGGATACCCAGGCCATAGTTTTTGCGTTGTCGTGGTCCTGCCCCCCTGCCCCCAAACACCATCCTTTACAGAGGCGTTTTCCAGATTCAGAAATTCCAGATGGCTTTTACCTACAGAACTTGTATCTCTGGCTTCCGCTTAACGTCCTGCAAACTTATTGGGAGGAAAACTAATTAAAAAAATATTTTAAAAAGGAAGATTTTCAGAGTAGAGTACTATATAAGCTATACTAAGTTGGTTTAAGAATGTAAGATTTCTAGAGGTATTTCCTTACCTGATGTGACTGGTTAGTAGTCTCCTGGAGTGTTTTTGTTCTTGTGGATATCTTTCAAACATTATTTCAGATGCACTGAGGGAGAGGGAGAACTTACCTTTCTGCTGTTTTCCTGGAAGACTTACTCTTCACCATAAACAATATGGGTTTTGTAGGCTCCATGAATTAGTAGGAGTCCAAATTTAGTTTTGTATGTGTTTCTAAATGGTTCACTTCTTTGATGTCAGTATGATTAGCAAAATGTACGTGATAAAACTAATAGAAATAGTAATAAGGCCCCAGAACAAAATGGTAAAATGTGGTGTCTGATGACCCATTTCTGCTACCCCAAAGATAAGTTGTGCCTTTTTTTAGCAGTCTTACATGCTGAACAGTGATTTGAACTGATCATTGCAGAAGGTGAGGTAGAAATTTTGTTACCTGCAGAAAAAAGAGAGAGGAAACAATGACCTGAGTCTTACGACTGCAAAGCTGACTACAGAAGTAGTCTGGAGTGGCAAAGCCAAGGCCCGTGTCTGCAAAGCCAAGGCCCTCAAGTATCAAATTGCTGAAATCAATCTTGCAGCAGGAAAATTATCTACAGCATCACACCAGGACAATGACTAGTAAGTAGGAAGTATCTTCTCTTACGCTTGTGTGGAACATAGATTGCAACCCTTTGCAGCTCTAAGGCTCAAGCAAAGTGGTGGATTTGTTAGCAAAAACTGGTTATTGCAGCCTTACTTTCATGATAATGAATGCTTTGGTTCCTACAGCATAGTTTTGGCTGTTTGTTTACATTTAGCTTA